TATTTATATATATATATATATATATATATATATATATATATATATATATATTTTTTTTTTCAGGGGATGGTTAAACAGGGAGTGCCTGTGTATGCGGGTGGTTCGGCACGTGTGTGTGGAGAACGTTGGTATCGGGTGTAATTTTTGCATTTTTTGTTTTATATGTTTTGTTTTATATTTTGTGTAGTTTTTAGTTTTGTATATAGTATAGTTTATCTCTTATAGTGTACAATGATTATAATGCTGGTTAATTTTTTGTGTTATTATTATTATTGTATTTATTTTTTGGGGGGGGGGTAAGTAGGATAGGTTAATTATTTGCTTATTTGATGGACTTAATTAATTATTACTAGTATATGTAGTTCGTGGCAAGGTGCGAGTTAGCTGGGGAGCAATTGTTTTTTTGCTTTAAGGAAGAAAATAAAAATAAAAATTATAAATATATATTTTTAGGTTTTTTTTTTTAATTTTATTATTTATGATTATTATTATTGCTATTATTATTATAATTATTATATATATATATATTTTTAATATTTATTTTTTAATTTCTTAATTTTACTTTTTTTAATTACTTCGGTAGGGTAGGTTTTGTCCTACAATGCGTTACCGCAGGGGGTTAAGCGGATAAATTTCGATCGGTCTTGTTCAGTTTATAGGCCACCTATGAGGACGCAGATTATTCATTTTCAGGGCAGCTTCAACAATTTTTTGCTATTCTGTGGATCAGGATGTGTGAGGGGGAGTGATGTATATATTTTTACGGGGTGTGAGGGTATCTATAGGTAGCCTGTATATGCAGGGGTAGTCGTGTTAAAAGAAGGGTTTTCGATGTTGTCTTTCGGTGTAGGGAGGGTCAATTGTTGTTATTGTATCAAGGGCTTTGTTCGTTGTTCTGATAGGTTTACTTTTATCAGGAGCGATAAGTATATTTGCATTATTTTATATGTAGCCAGTTCGGGGGTTACTTTCATTGTTAACCGAGGCACGGGTTCATTTTTGGATCAGTTGGGGTTGCTAGGAGTACGTAGGCCCTCTTTTTATAAAAAAAATGATTTTCTTAATACTACGTGCCGTTATGTTTGTATGTTAATCTGGTAACATTATTTTTATGGTCTTTTTAGGTTTACGTTTTGTTACTTATGTAGTTTTACTTGGGGGGTCAGGTCTTCTTGGTAGGAGGGGATGATAGTACCAATCATATCTTGGATGGCTTCGTGCGATCTCTCTAGGAGGGTTTATAGGGAGGGCAGTTCCCTGCATATGTCGTGTGATTTGCCTTGCGCAACTCTGTTGTGCTTGCGATTTTGGATAAGGCGTATTGCTGCACTCAGTGTATGCTCGTGCTATGTGGACGTGCTGTAGGGGCTAGTACGTGGTAGTCGAGTGGGGATTTTTAGGGGGAGAGCGAGCGAGCGAGAGTTTTAAGTTGTGGGGTTTATGTAGAACGGATCAGGGACGCGGGAGAGAGGGAGAGAGGGGGAAAAGAGAAGGCAAGAAGAGGTAAGGGTCTTTAGGTAGGGAGGGCAGGGAGATACTTGGAGAGTAGTGAGGAGAGAGAGAGAGAGAGAGAGAGAGAGAGAGAGAGAG